GAGGTGAATTTCAGAATGCCAGAGCTGGCCCATGATTGAACTTTAACTGCTTCTTAGTGAATACAGGGGGAAGAGGACAGAGAAAGTTCTGTTCTTTATTTGAAATTTCTTTCTCCTTTTACGGAGCTAAAAATGCCCTTTTATTATGTGATGGGGATTATAACATGTGTTTGCTTGTTTAGATTCTTACTTGGCAAAATAAAGTTAGAAATCTAAGGTTGGATTCCAAATTTTTGTTGTTGAAATTTTACTGGCCCATGGGATCCCAGCATCTAGAACCACTGCTCAAAACCCCATAGCTGAGATTTCCAAAGCTTCAACTTATGCCAAGACAAGAAAGTCAGTTGTTGGGTGGTTTTTTTTTTTTTCCATACCCTATGTAAGTGCATTGAAGAAATACAAGGTAAATCTTAAGCTGTGAGGAGGTCTACTCTTTCTCTGACTTCATTTTTGCTAAGTCTGGATGCTGTGAGCACAATTACCCAACAGGTAACCCCAGTCTCAGGCAAGGAAAGCTTGTGAACTGCAGCAGATGAACGTTGACTGCAGTCTTTGTGTTTAAATGTTGGCAAGAAGTTGCTAAGCACTTGGTATCTGTGCTGTGGAGATTCTGTGCTGAACATCTGTGGCCTAGCACCCACATTTACACACAGTAAGTCTGCCAGCATGTGACCTCAGAAAACCACGGACGTTGCCTGCTGGCTGACCTTCACTGGACTTGCTGTTTGGTTCTCTGCACTCCTGCACTCCTGACAAATACCCAGGCCCAGCAGGGGCCAGGGATCTCATTAATTTGCATTTCCTTCACTAGAGCTTCATTCATGTCAGGCTGGTATTTGTTATTCATTGGAGCAGTTTAAATATGCAGAGGTAAACAAACCTTCTGCTGTGGTGCTTGGGCCCGGAGGGCTCTGCTCGGAGGGGGGAAGAGGGATCAGCTTATGGCTTTTAACCTCTAACTTTTAAGAATTGTTTAATTTTATGAATGATAATATGTAGCAAGGCTTGTCCTGTTTTTAAAAGGAATACTGTGAAGTGTTCCTTTCATCCCTGTGCCTTCTCTCAGTGTCCAACTCCATTTATCACGATTACTTACAGCTTTTTTTCCTTCAAGGATTTTTTTACGCACATGCATGCCAGAAGAATATTTTTTCCTTTTTAGACAAGTGGTGACATCCCATACATAGCATTCTGCATCATGTTTCATCTACTTAACAGTTTATCTTAGAGATCTTGCCATGTCAGTACATAATAAGCATCCTTACTGTTTTCTTAATACTGCATAAAATTCCATTGTGTAGCTGAATCATAATTAATGAGACAAGTCCTCTTTTGAAGTCCATCTAGGTCGCCATAATGGGTAACCATGTTCATATGTATTGTTTTGGACAAACTCTAGTTAATCTGTAGGATAACATAGGCATGCGTTTGCTAGAGCAAGGATTTACGTGTTTGTAATAAGGTCCTTCATGGGAAAAAAAGAAATCTCAATTTACATTCCCACTAACGATGTTTCAGAATACCAGTTCCCCTTAAGCTACATTACGGTTGTGGATTTTCACCAATCTCTCGGTGACATTTATTTTATTATGAATGAAGTTGAGCATCTTTTCTTATGTTTGAGTCATATCTTTTCATTTCTGTGAAGTGCCTGATCATATCCTCAGCTATTTTTTTAAGTCAATTTTTTTTTTTTTTTTTTTGAGACAGTGTCTTGCTCTGTTCCAGGCTGGAGTGCAGTGGTGCAATCTCAGCTTACTGCAGCCTCTACTTCCTGGGCTCAGGCAATCCTTCTGCCTCAGCCCCCCACCAAGTAACCAGGACTACAGGTGTACACCACTGTGCAAGGCAAATTTTTCTATTTTTCCTAGAGACAGGGTTTTGCCATGTTGCCCAGGCCGGACTTTTTGGACTTTTATACAGTTTATTGGAGCTCTTTATGTTAGGAGATTAGCCAATTGTCTGTGATATGAGTTGCAAGTATTTTCCCATTTTGTCATTTATTTTTCTTGTTTTTCATAACTACACTTTCAACACGTGACTCATGTGAAGTGTTTAGCTTAGGGTTGTTTCCTACGTAGCCTCGATCATCTAAATGTGTTAAGGGCTCCTTGCATTCCAAGCACGTTGGCTTTCACCTTTTTATTCACTAAGCTACTTAATTTGTTGAGGTTCTGTACTGGGCCTGGTGAAACTCAGCTTGTAAATAGCAGAGGCAACTTGAACCCAGGTCTCGCTGGACTATAAAATCCATCTTCTTAACTGTCACACAGTGTATCCAGTAGGACTTAAGCGAGTACAGCCTAGTCTTAATATTAACAAAAGGAAAACAGAAGCCATAAAATAAAACCTGCTAGGAGAGAAAACAAGCAAACAAAATGTTGTGACATTCTACAAACCTAATTTACAGAAGCCACTATTTGAGAATTTTCCTTTCCATTCAAACAAATACAGAGGTTCCAGGTTGTGTAACCTCAGCAATTCATTGTTACTTTCTATATGTTAATTATGCCATGAAACGACATCCACACTGTGTGATGCCTCCATTAAGTATTACGCCCACTCCTTTTCATTTTCTGTTTATACAAATATAATTTCTTGGTTGTCCCATACAGGTTAAGCCTGCCTCAGAGTTGCCTCATACTTCTCCATATCGTAATGTGGCCCAAAGCTAGCTAGATTTAATTCTTTTTCATGGAACGATTTAGTGGCTGTTTAAACTACCAAATACCTATTATTATTTCTGTATACCTAAGGAAATAAATGTCCCCTTTCTCTATCTGAAGCCTCTCTGCTCTGTATACATGAGTGTTTATGTGTGGATGTGTGTACATGTGTCTGTCTCACCTCCAGGGAAACCTAACACTATCCTTTTTACACCATAACTGAACAAATCACAGTAGTTAGAGAGATGTGAATCCAAGGAAAATTATTATATTAATGGAAACCTCAGGGAAAGATGAATAATCTAAAGAGCTCAGGAGTAACCAAAAATGAAAATAATAATAGTAAATGCAACATCTTCTCTGATAAAATCTTGGGCCCAAAACTGTAAAAAATGAGAGAAACTCCATTTAAGTGGAACATGGGTGTTTTATCTTACCTTTTTGAATGTTGAAGGGAATCTGCTCCAATAGAATGAATGACTTTATATGAGATAGAAAGTGAAAAAGAGAGAAACAAGAAACTGGCAGTGCTCTTAGCCCACTGAAAGCAGCCTGCTTCAGAACTAAGGCATTGTGGTTATTTTTACACGCTTGCAAAAGGAAGGAAGGATGTTACAGGTCTCTTTGAGCCACTTTTCTTTTACTCTTTTCTATATGATCTACGTTTATATTAATAAGTTATTACATGCCATATAAGTTCCAGAATCATTCCTTTTTACAGTCCCATGGAATTGAATCCCCTCCTAAATCCCAAAATACAGAAAAAGAAAATGTTTGGATACAGTGCCGAGCATCATACATACTGAATATTCAACTATGCTTGCTTAGAGAAACAGTGACCATTTAAATGAGTAGATGATCTGGGGGTCATTCCTTATGATGTGACTGCTCCTCTCTCAGGTAGTCTTAGTCCCTGTGCCACTCCTCTCCTAGTATGTATACCTTGCTGTTGCCTGAGTGAATCCTAGCCTTTCAAGATAACCATTTGTCATATGCTGCTGACCCCTAACACAACAAGCCGGCTCCATCCTCTGGTACTCAGCAAGACACACAGTCATCTATAATCGTGCAGAAGGAAAAACTAGTTGCATTGGATATATTGAATAGATATTTCCTCCATAGTTTTCAAGGGTGACCTGTTACTGAGCTTAATCCATGTAAGAATCAACTATTCCACATTAGCATTATACTGAAGACGCATTCTTTCACTCAACAAATACTTATTGAGTGTCTGCTATGTGCCAGGCACTGATGCAAAAATCTGATTGATCTCAACAGCTTAAACTGTAGTAGATCCAAAGTGTTTATTCTGTGCTGAAAGCCTTTGTCATTTGCCCAGTCCTTTTTGTGTGGTATCCATGAAAAACAGACCATGATAAAATTGCATAGGCCCTCGATGTCCCGCCTGGAGTGTAATTCAAAGGGCTCTTGAAACTTCACATAAAATTCTATTACATTGTTCTCATTTTTCACGCTGAAAAATTTAAGAATGAGTGGCTTAGGTGGTTTGACTGGCTCATGTATTAGGTAATATTGTATGTAGTCAAAGAATAAAAAGGATGAGATTGATAAACATCAACATTTAAGCCAGTGGATGCCTCTATGGATATGACCAGTAAAAAGTACAGAAGGGGATTCAACTGTATCGATAATGTTTTATGTCTTAAGCAGCATTTTGGATTCATTGGTATTCACTGTTTTATTCTTTATACATTTTATATATCATAAATATTGTGTATATTTTTTCAAAATGAACCCCGGAAAAGGAAAAGAAGATAATGAAATATTGGGGATTGGAAATCAGGTTTTAAATTCTTAAAATATGTAAGGTGTCTTTTTTTGGAAAATGTAAATAAAAGAGTTCAGATTGAGGTCCTATTCAGTGTGATGGTTCTCTCTGTTTTAAGAATTATTTCACTTATCCCTGTTTAACAATATTTGTCAAATATCCAAAATTTGTGGTTAAAAAATATATTTTTGAAGTTGCTCCACACATTAAGGCCTAGATCTTTCATCGAAAGCATTACAATGTGATCACACTAGCGATGATGGAGTGATCTTCCCAGGAAGAAGGCACAAGGGAATAATGAATTTTCAGGCATGTGACACTGATTGGCAGGGAATGCCTGCATGAAGTGACCGTCACTGACTTAGCATCTGTTCTACCTGGTGATCATTGGCCTTTGTGACATGAACTTTGAGAAACCCGCTCTCGTGGGGTTGATTTGTCTAGAGATAATATTGGCCCAGGGCTAATAGAGCTAGATGTGCAGTCAAAATTGTCCTTGCTAATGTATTCTTTCTTTCTCTCTCTTTTTAATATTTTGATTTCAGCGAAGGGAGCAATCTGACCCCAGCACATCACTACCCAGACTTTAGATTTAAGACATACGCTCCATTAGCATTCCGATATTTCAGAGAACTTTTTGGTATCAAGCCTGATGATTACTTGGTAAGAACCTGTCATTTTTCTTCCTTCTATAGAAATGTGTGAATATAAACATTTGTATCATAGCAACAGTAACAAGTGGCTTGTGTCTCTCATTTTATAAAGCTCCAGGGCATAGTGAAAGTTCCAAGTTTTATAATGATTATAAATTTAGCTTCAAGAAATTTGATGTGATGCTGTAGCGTCTACTGATAGCTCCAAAATCTGCTATGGTAATTCATATTTAAATAACTATAATATCAGTTTTGACTTCAGATAATTATTCTAACAGATATGTTTTAATTAGTTCTAAATACTCCCGTGAATTTTGCTGATTAGATTCTATTTGAAAGCCTTTCTATGTTAATTGCCTTATTTGTACCATTCCTCTCAACTACCTTGGCCCACAACCATTTCACCTTGACCTACAAATTTGAATAAACATCTTAAAGAATCTGGATAGTTTTGTTCTCAACATCTCTTCAGGCAGGCTCTTTTTAAACACATTTTTTATTTGGTACAGGGCATATTTTATCCTCAGATTTGTCTGCATTCTTCATCTGCCTTCTGGCACACAAGAGGTACAAACACAACAGCCTTTTTGTGAGGTAGTCTGATGTGACCTCAGAGTTTTCCCTCATTCCTGTTCAAGGAGCCAGGAACTTTCTGTTGGAAGTGAAAAAATGGTTTGTTTCATAATCTGATCACTGTTAACACCCTGGGGCTCTTCAAAATTGGTTTTCAAGAGACTGTAGGAAGAATGCCATCAAATATTTATTGTTCATCCCATTCTGAGTGATCTTAATAAGACTTGAGCCAGATCCTGGGATAATGCTTTTCAGAAAAACTATAGCAACACGTGTAACAAAGAGTATTTAATATGCACCTTATAATTTGGATAAGATGTAAATAATTCAGAGCTGATTATCTTCTGTGCTAATGAAGACTCTTAAATGTCTCCTTTGAATCTTCTTGTAAAAGAGAAAAAGAAAACTTGTGAATGATCTTCTTTATTTGGTTCCTAAGAAAATCACATGACTTCTGTCTAATGAAGCAATGCTGCTTCCTCAGGGCACGTCAGTAAGTCTCTAAAGAGCAGTGAGGGCAAGGTAGAAAGTCCCCAGCATTCTGCTGCCTTTAAATGTATATATATATATTGCTCTCTTTCTCTCACCACTTCCCTTTAATTGAAACCTCAAGTGCCTCTACCCATCATGACCAATGCAAGTACACAAGCACACATATTTGTTCTGTTAGAGGATATTAAAGGATGTTAGAGAGCATCCTTTGGTTTCTAGCCATTTTATAACTACTGAGGGTTGCCATCATTCAGGAATTGTGTTTGAGAAACCCAATAGAGTTTTAATATTATATTATGGAAAACAAGATAGATCTCTCATCTTCTGCCACACATTCGAATTTAATGGACTCTCTTTCTGAACTTCCTTGAACTTCTCACCATTTGAAAAGATGCCTTAGACTTGCGTTTCACGCTGCTGGTCCAATCAATATGACGAGATGGATGCCTGTCTTTAGCCCGCCCATATCCATTGTCCCAAAGGCTGGTGGTCCACTCTTTCATTCATTCTGACCTCACAAATTTGCTTTCTATGGGGAAGCTCCTTTTCTGAACAACTTCCCACACAGCCTACCCAAGTTTCCTAATGAGTCTTTAAATGAAAAATTATTTTCATAATGTGGTTAGACTATTTACAAAAGAGCACAAGACTCTAAGCTCATTATTTCTCACAGGAAAAGTCTTTGTCCCTGTACCTGGCAAAAGGTGAATTAATTGATCAGTGGGCACTTGGAGCACCTATTATATCTAAAATACTTTGCTAATGTTTGTAGGGAAATTCAGAAAACTACAAGTCATGACACATAAAAACTTAAAATCAATTTGTCTATGTGGAAAACGAATCAACTCTATCAGGCAATAAATTTAAAAACTGAAACAAAACATATAAAATACTCCAGGGTTTGGGGTAGAAATCTTTTTCTTTGTTGGGGTGACGATTAGGAGATCATCTTATGAGCATAGCGTGGTTTTAACCATGCCTTAAAAATTACAACGGATTTTAAAAGGTAGAAAAGAGATGGATGCTCAGGGGGTAAAGGGTTGGAAGGGGCACAGTAGAATCAGAGATGTGGTTGTGTTCAATTTTCAGAAGGATATTTAGTGGACCAATATGGCTAGAGGGGAGAGTTTTTATCAGGAACATTATTAATAGATAGGTCCAGACAACTGAAATAAACAAAATTCTAAATTACAGGAAACTAAGGAAATACAAAGACTGACTAGATATTTGATAGTGTTGAGAAATTACTTTTTTTGGTGAGATAGTAATATCATGGTTCCATTTTAAAAGGAGAATGCTTGTCTTTTAGAGGATATACTGAAATATCTGTGGATGAAATGGTTTGATATTTGGGATGTACTTTAATGGAATCTGAGGAGTTGGTCAAAAAATACAAAATTTGAATTAGACGGCTGGGCACAGTGGCTCACACCTGTAATCTTAGCTTTTTGGGAGGCTGAGACAGGAGAATCACTTGAGCCCAGGAGGTGGAGTTTGCAGTGAGCCGAGATTGCACCACTGTACTCCGGCCTGGATGATGGAGCAAGACTCCACCTCAAAAAAATAAAAATAACAATAAATTTAAAAATGGAATTAAAGAGGAGGAATAAATACAGGAGATCTATTCTACATGGTGACTAAAATAATAATATATACTTGAAAATTGCTAACAGAATAGATTTTAAAAATAAATGCTTGAGGTGATGGATATCCCATTACTCTGATTTGATCATTACACATTATGTATAGGTATCAAAATATCACATGTACCCCCAAAATATGTACAACTATTGTGTATCTTTAAAAAAAAAAAAGTTCCAACCACAAAAAAGTGATGAATATGTGAGGTAAAGGATGTGTTAATTAGCTTGATTGAGCCATCCGCAGTGTATACGAATATCACATTATGTTGTGTATCATAAAACACAATTTTATGTATCAATTTAAAAAATTAATCAGAAGGATTATATACTCTAAATAAGTGAATTGAATGATATCCAAATTACAGCTCACTGTAATTGTTAAAAAATAAATAAATTGAATGTCCCCCTACCAAAAAAAAAAAAAAAAAAAAAAAAGCCTGAGGGAAGTAAGGCAGCAGAGTGGTTGGAGAAACAAGATTGGCCATGAGTTGATCATTGAATGATCATGAATGAGTTGACCATTCATGAGTTGATGCTGGAAGATAGATATATGGGTGTTAATTACACAATTCTTTTTAATTGTATGTATGTAAATATAATTTAAAAGGTAGGGAGAGGCCAGGTATGGTGGCTCAGGCCTGTAATCCCAACACTTTGGGAGGCCAAGGCAGGTGGATCACCTGAGGTGAGAAGTTCAAGACCAGCCTGGCCAACATGGAAAAATCCTCTCTCTACCAGAAATCCAAAAATCTAGCCAGGAGTGATGGCATTAGCCTGTCCCAGCTACTTGGGAGGCTAAGGCAGGAGAATTCTTTGAACCAAGGAGGCCAAGTTTGCAGTGAGCTGAGATTGCACCACTGCACTGCGGCCTGGGTGACAGACCAATACTGCAACTGAAAACACACACATAGACACACACACACACACACACACACACACACACACACACACACACACACGGTAGGTGGAAAGCTAGAGCCAGGTATGTAGGTGTGCTTTTGCTTCATTCCATTTTCCTACCTTACTTACATCTCTGGGGCTTGCAAGAAACAGATCAAAGGCCCTAGCTCAACATGATTGCCTCATCCCCAACAGCTGCTGCCACCCACCTATGCCTGTACTAGGGACATCTGCAGCATAGGACCAAGGCAGCTCCCCAGCAAGCCTTGGAGTTTCTGGAAGCTCACCTCCATACCGTTCTGTCTGGGACCCCACGTAATGATCTGGACTGTGGTAGATGAGGAAAGGGTCTTTTGTATGACACAGCATGCTTGAGTGTCAGGTATAATAACCCTCAAAGACTTTTTACCTCAATCTTTCATTTTACAGATGAGGAATCTGAAGTTGGGGTCAGCAAAGGGAGATGCCCAAGGTTACCCCCAATGGAGGGGGCTGAGCCTCGACCAAACAGTGGTCTCCCTATCCTTCCCAAAGGGCTTGAAGACCCTTCACCAACTGGCCTCATGCTTCTCGTATTTGATGAAAATCACAGACCCCTTACCAAATATGTACTCAAGCTAGCCTCTCCTTAGCCCATTGAATTGTGATTATCCATTGTGAAGAATACAGCCAAAAGAAGTCAAACACATTTAACAAAACATGTTTTGGAAGAGTTTAGCTAAAGGAAAACATAGAAATAGGAAATAAGACATTGCTTGAAAAGCTCTGAAGAAACAAAGGATACAGTGCAAATCACAAAGTGCATCATGGTGGCTGTCAAACTGGGGCTATTCAAACCTCCACTTATGAAGTTACAGTGATCTAAGTTGGGGACGTGGAAACATTAGCCATTGGTAACTCCATACATGGGTATGATATTGAATACCTGCCATATGTGCGTGTTTCTACTTAGTTTTGTGCTGTGGCTTCTGGATTCCTGCCTGAATTATTCTGTTTGTGTTCTCAGTCCCATTAGAATGAACCCTGTGCATGCTGATTACAAGTTTCAAGTTGAAACACGCATAATTTGGACTGTGAGACAGCACAGTGAAGGTGCTTCTGCACATACAGCAGTGCAAACTTTCCTTCTTCCTTACTTGTTCCTAGCCAAACACCGGCCAAGGCAAAGCCAAAGGGCCCCAGAGCACTGGGCAACCAGCCATGGGTTCTTTCCTTCTTCATCATGTGCCTGGGTATTCAGAAATCCAGTAGAACTTACATGAGTCTTTTCAGGCTCACCTGCGCCAGTAAGAAAGAGAGCAGAGTGAATATTTCATACTATCGGGGGAAAAAATGGCACATAAAATTATCTCCGCCACATGGGACAAGTTTGCATTGTTAATTTATATTGGCAGGGCCCAGCTGGGTTGTGCTCTGCTTTTTACTTTTTTCTCCAGTGGATATAGCAGAGAGGCCCTGCAGGAAATAGAAGTGAGAGCATGAATACATTAGAACAGCTTGCACAGATGACAAGTGCCTGGAAGGTGCATAAAACCCAGGAGCAAACATGGGGGCTTTCGATCATGACTAATTAAAATGTTCCCATCTCTCCTCCTCATTTGCTCTTCAGGGGCAATGTTTCAAAGAAGGTGGCTTAGAAGAGAATGTGGTAACCGAGTTGTAGAGTGAGAAACACAGAGTTCTATAGCATGATGGTGATATTCCTGTTCAGTTTCATAATCACAGTTTATTGTACATGATGATGGGCTATGAATAGCCCCCAAAGGGTTATTAAAGTGGATCAAAACAATCTATTATTTCATTCATCTTAATGTATAAATGACATAATAAAAGAATATATGACAATGTAGTTACTAGTGAAATAGTATTCATATTATGTCACTGCATTTTTTTTTATGTCACTGCTTATAGAAGAATTGGAGACTTTAATTGGGAGCAGATGTTCAGGTCTGAATCCAGTCTTTTCTAGACAGCTCTTTCTGGATCACCCCCTAATTTCTCTATTTGCAGCCTCTAATTTCTGCATCATTTGTTTTCCTATTTTCACAACATAAACTCCTACTCATAAGGAATTTCTGTGTCAGGAATTCAAATGCCATGGAACAATGAATCCGAATTTCTAAAGAGAGTCTAGGGTCTGCCTTCACTTTTTATGAGAGCTTAGAGTCTACGCCTTATATTCCAGGGTCTCAAATGCATGAGTAAATGAACTGAGGGTATTGGCAGAACGGGGCAGGCAGCATCAACAGTCTCAATAGGAAAGGAGGAAGTGTGAGGAGTCAAGGATGATGCCCTAGTTTTTGGTTTGGGGAACAAGGCACTTAATGCTTCCAGAAGGCAGAGAACAAAAGGGGTCACTGTGTGCAGTTGTGCAGGCTGTGTGCTGCTTAAGCTCTCTTACTTGGCCGAGGGGAAGGAGTGAAGACTGAAATCTAGCCTTTCCTCTACTCACCAACTAAGTACCCTGTCCCAGAGCTGCATCTGCCAAGATAAAGACCTGCATCTTTCTTTTTTTTTTTCTCACTCTGTTGCCCAAGCTGGAGTGCGGTGGCATGATTTTGGCTCACTGCAACCTCTGCCTCCTGGGTTCAAGCACTTCTCCTGACTCAGCCTCCTGAGTAGCTGGGATTACAGGTGTTCTACACCATGCCTGGCTAATTTTTTTGTATTTTTAGTAGAAATGGGGTTTAACTATGTTGGTCAGGCTGGTCTTAAACTCCTTGATCTTGTGATCCACCAGCCTCAGCCTCCCAAAATGCTGGAACTACAGGTGTGAGCCACCACACCCAGTTGGCTGCATCTTTCTAATTACCATGAAGGCATCATATGGTCTTAACCACAGCCCTGAGATGAATTTGACTGTGAACTTATTGCATATAAATTGTTTGTGGTATAAGCAAAACAGAAATGTTTATTAAAGCGTTAGATGAACAGGTCTTGAGCACTAGCAAAAGATCTGGGCTGGAGAAACAGATGTTGAAGTCATGTCCTTGTTGAAACCATGAGTAGGTGACATCTTCTGAGAAAATAGTGAAAAGAGAATAGGGGTTGGTGTTTAAGTGATAAATACACAGTGCAGATCACATCTTCACTTGTTATTTTATGGACATTTGCTGGAAACAAAGCACCTTAGTCAACATGACTGAATTATCTCATTGGACAGATAGGATGATTCATGACTATCGCATGACTCTGGGGATAAGGAGCGTATGTCTGTTTTTCATCATAGAATTGTTAAGACAAACAGACCAATTAAATCTTTAGAAATCTCACAAAGAGCCTTCTTGGTATACCTGGAGCCTCTTTTAAAGCCCGCAGAGAGGGCTTCTTGTTTCAACATAGCCAAGATGTACAATGCTATGATTGTCTTCCTTGGAGGCATCATGTACATCAAGTATATATTTTAATGTTTATTCATTTTCTCTTTTAGTATTCCATCTGTAGTGAACCTCTAATAGAACTGTCTAACCCTGGAGCCAGTGGATCCTTGTTTTTTGTGACCAGTGATGATGAATTTATCATCAAAACAGTTCAGCACAAAGAAGCTGAGTTTCTTCAAAAGCTGCTGCCAGGCTATTACATGGTAAGGAACTGCACATCATTAAAGCTTCTACTTGAAGCTTAATTACTTTCCTCAACAGTTTTTATCTATTGTTTTTTTCAGTGAAGCTTACGCATGTTTCTTTCTCTTTGCTCTGCTTTATTCTGTATTTAGATTATGCTATGACATTCATTGAATAGATTTTTTAAAGTAAACTATAACTGAATGGCAGAGCATAGTTGTTGAATCCCACAATCTTGAGTTCAAATCCCAGCTCAGCCAATGGTTAACTGCATGACCCTGAGTAAGCAGCGTAGCTGATGAGCCTTAGTTCCCTCAGTCTTTAAAAGCTGGGAAATACTATTCTTACACAGTTGTGATAAAGAAAGGATACAGGATGCAAAACAAAGGAAAGAGAAAGGGAGCAATGTGTTGCAAAGCTCTTTGCAGCCAGTCCATAGTAATAGTATGAATGGTTAACTTTCATTGATTGCTGACTATGTGTTAAGCAAGGGCTTAAGTGCTTTGCATTCATTAACTCATTTAATCCTCACAGCAACCTTGGATACTACAATTATCACCATTTTATAGAAGAGGTAATTGAGGCAAAGATAAATTAGGTAACTGCCGTGGGTGATTGAGCTGGAGAGCTGCAGAGCTGGAGCTACACAAGACAAAGGGCTCCAGAGAATGCATTTTTAACCCCAACACTAATATGCCAGCACATATTCTACATTAGCTGTTCTCAGCTGCTATACTTCAGAATTTAGAATTTCATAGGTAAATATGATAATGTAAAAAAATCACCTTTCATATAATATTTTAGAGACAAAGGAACAGTAACTTAGCCTAGATGGATTTATTACACATCTACTCCAAATTTTCAAAACTAACCCCACTTTTCCTAAGTAGTCCAGTCATTTTCATACTTCCAGTTTTGTTGTACTTTTGTAACAATTATTAATCTTTTGTGATTGGAAGAGCGACATGAAGCCGTCTGGATTTCAGAAACCCATGTTCTGCCGATCACTTGCTATGAGTGGTGATAAATATCATCTTTGTTTTTAAAAATGCATTCATGAGATGCCATATGATCATTTTATTGAAAAATTTTTACATAAAATATATTATTTTAATTCCAAAATCTGCTAGGCACAGCATTAAATACTTAATACTTAATTTCATATAGAAGTATAGAAATTAAAAATTAATCAAAAATCTTAGTGGCCCATAGGCAGATTTTAAAAGATTTTCTTTTTTTTTTAAGAGAAAAGAGAAAATAAAGTCAAAAAATTTCAACTAACTACAGTTTCTTTCCTAGAGATACGTATTACTAAAATTTGGTGTATATGCTTTCAGTTATACTTTGTTCATGCACACATTTTTAAATTATCTAAAATTAGGATCAAATTGATATGATATTATTTGGTAACCTGCTTAATTAGTAAATCTTAAAATGCCATAGTTCTAAGCTCAGATATATTTGTCTTCTTATAAAACTGCATTGTCTAATGTGATAATAGCCATATGTGACTACTTATATTTAATTAAAATTAGATAAAAAGTTAAGGCAACACATTTAGGATGGGAGTGGTGGCACACGCCTTTAATCCCAGCACGTTGGGAGGCAGAGGCAGGTGGATCACTTGAGGTCAGCAGTTTGAGACCAGGCTGGCCAACATATAGTGACACCCTGTCTCTACTAAAAATACAAAAATTAGCTGGGCGTGGTGGCACATGCCTGTAGTCCCAGCTATTTGGAAAGCTGAGGCAGGAGAATCACTTGAACCCAGGAGGCGGAGGTTGCAGTAAGCCACGATCATGCCACTACACTCCAGCCTGGGTGACAGAACAAGACTCTGTCTCTCAAAGTAAATAAATAAATGAATAAAAATTTTTTTCAGGCCGGGCACGGTGGCTCAAGCCTGTAATCCCAGCACTTTGGGAGGCCGAGGCGGGTGGATCACGAGGTCGAGAGATCGAGACCATCCTGGTCAACAAGGTGAAACCCCGTCTCTACTAAAAATACAAAAAATTAGCTGGGCATGGTGGCGCATGCCTGTAATCCCAGCTACTCAGGAGGCTGAGGCAGGAGAATTGCCTGAACCCAGGAGGCGGAGGTTGCGGTGAGCCAAGATCGCGCCATTGCACTCCAGCCTGGGCAACAAGAGCGAAACTCCGTCTCAAAAAAAAAAAAAAAAAAAAAAAAAAAATTTTTTTCAAAAGGCAACACATTTATGTAACAAAAAATACCAGACACAAAATTAATATAATCATATTGAATATTTCTGCAATGAAATAAAGTGAGAGCAGTAGTTTTCTCAAATATTGAGAACTGGGGGAAGAATCAAGGATAGCAGAGACAATTTTCACTGAATACATGCCCTTTCATAAACTATTTTAATTTCTTACTTACTTTAAAAGGGAACAAAAATAGATATGTATTTCCTTTTTTTTTTTTTTTTTTTGAGACAGAGTCTTGCTCTGTTACCCAGACTGGAGACTGGAGTACAGTGGCGTGATCTTGGCTTACTGCAATCTCCGCCTTCAGAGTTCAAGCAATTCTCCTGCCTCAGCCTCCCAAGTATCTGGGACTACAGGCACATGCCACTATGCCTGGCCAATTTTTTGTATTTTTAGTGGAGACAGAGTTTCATCTACTGGTTAGGCTGGTCTCAAACTCCTGCCCTTGTGATCTGCTCACCTTGGCCTCCCAAAGTGTTGGGCTTACAGGCATGAGCCAGCACGCCTGGCCTCCCTATTTTTTTAAATAATAAAAAAGACAACAGACTGGAAAAAACTACCCTATATAGACAAGAAAAATGATAAATATCCAGAATATATCAAGAATTTCAGCAGTGAAAAAAACCTACAGAAAAATGAGCAAAATTATCTTTAGGGTGACTAAAAATACATGAAAAATACTAAGTTTCTATAATCAGTGATATTCAAATTTTTACGAACAGATTTCCATTTTTGACTAATCTTGCTTACAGACATTGTAAAGTTCGGTACTATTCAGCACTGATAAGAGTGATGGGAAAGTCTGTGTACAATCTTACATAGTATGGTTGTAAATTGGTGTACCATTTTGGAAGACAGTTTTGCAGGAGCTATGAAAATTTTAAATGTTCATCCCATATACCTTGGTAATTAATTTTCTCTTTAGCTACCTTAGAAAATAGTCACTCATGGCACCAGCCAATTCCTTGCCTGTTTTTAGTTGGAGCCAAATTGGAACATTATGTTTCAATTTCAGTTCAGTCACTTTCAACTGCCCTGAATTTAGAAGGGTAAAGTTGCTCTTCCAATAAACAGACTTAAGAAATAGATTAGAAAGAGCAACGTTTTAGTGATGGACATTAATTAAGACAATCACATCCTATGTTTAATTATTATATAGGCATGAAAAGACATCTTTAGTGGAGCATTATTTTTTTCAAAATAGAAAACTGTAAATATATTTTTCTTTTTTTGGTTTCTAGAATTTAAACCAGAATCCAAGGACTCTCTTGCCAAAATTTTACGGACTGTATTGTATGCAATCAGGAGGCATTAATATCAGGATTGTGGTGATGAACAACGTTTTGCCACGCTCCATGCGAATGCACCTGACATATGACTTGAAAGGCTCAACGTATAAGCGAAGAGCATCTCGTAAGGAGAGAGAGAAATCCAACCCCACGTTTAAGGACTTAGATTTCCTGCAAGACATGCATGAAGGGTTGTATTTTGATACAGAAACATACAATGCGCTTATGAAAACACTTCAGAGAGACTGCCGGGTAAGGAAGCTTGATTGCTATGATTTCCTTTGAAATCTGTGCTCATGTAAACTGTGGCTGCCACTTAATGAAAGCATAGAAGTAGGGAATGTCCGAAGTGGTGGACATGTGGAATTCTATCTTTCCCAATCCTGGTGCCAAGACAGACTTCCCTGATATTGAAGGAACTGGTGGATGATAAGGGAGTTATCTACAGTCCTTAACCTACATCTCTGTTGACTTTACTAATAACCTAAGTCAGCTTTCTTTGATAAAAGGAAACAAGAAAGCATTGTTTTCTTTCTCCCCTTTGGGGAAGATAGTTTAACTAGAAAAAAAATGGAATTTATATTTAATGCAGTATTGAGTAAGAAAAGCCATATAGAATCTTGGAAGAAATAAGACTCGAAACAAGTTGAGAGAAAATGTACTTGGGATTAATAATGGCTCCCTAGACATCAGCATAGATGCAGAACTATCATGTGAGCAGCACATTTGCTAAAATTATCTTATGTGGTCTGAATGAGAGGTGAATAGGAATGACGCTTGCCCATTGGGGCAGACACCATTCCGTACAAACTTAGCCGGAGTGATTGTCCAAAGTGAGGAGGAACTCCCCCAGGCTGCAATGCTTTAAAAAACAAAAACAAAAACAAACAACAACAGCAACAACAACTAAAGGAATAATTTTCTAACATGGTGAAAACATAAAAATATTTTGGGAGACAAGAAAAAATGCAGTGCTAATAACTTATAAAGGATAATGATCATGGAAGAACCGTCCAGCCTCTTGGCTAAGTTGAGTCTAGTTGGAGGTGGGCAGAAAGCATGATGGCAGAGGCTGTGGTTTTCTGCGCTTCCCATCGGGCTGGATGGGCGACCCATGTTGTTACACTTCTCTGCTAGACCTAAACTCACGTGAAGGTGAGGAAGACAGTCTGACACTCCCTGTGAGGTATGAAGTAGGGAATTTTCACTAAGGAACACAGACCTACTATTTCTGCATTTTTTTCCTTCTTCCTTTCTGCCTGTTTTAACATGTATGGTTGTACACAAAAATGTGTCTTTGAAATTGTTTTTCTTTATTGACAGAGATGTTACTCCTATTTTTTAACTACCATTTATTGAATGCTTATAGTATGCCAGGTTGGTCTAAGATTTATTAATGCATCAATTCACTTAATGCTCTCAGCAACTCTTTGAAGTCAGTACTATTCATACTTCCATTTTAATTGCTGAAAATTTGGATTCGTAAAGAGATTCAGAAACTTATCCAGCATTACTTAGCAAGTGAATGGCAGAGCCCACATCTGTTCGGGTACAAAGGCATGTGCTTTTAACAACTAAAACTTAAAGATTCACTCTGAGGATTTTTTAAAATTATTTTTCAGAAGTCAGGGACGGTACAGTAGGAACCAAGCAAACAAACAAGAAACGTCCAGCAGAGATATTCAGATATCTGAGTGGATTTGAGTAATGCATGTTTTTCTATTCAAAAACTGAAAAAACAAAACATACATCTTTTAGTAGAAAGCTTTTTCCTGTGTTTTTTCTGCCCTTACAGGATGTGGGTAAAAGTGACTCTCAATTCCCCAGAGTTTAGTGTCAGCCTCTCCAGTTTTAGGTTTGCTTTCTCATAGATATATGAGAAAGCAATATATGTATATATATTTTATTGCATTTTAGGTTCTGGGGTACATGTAAAGAACATGCAGGATTGTTGCATAGGTACATACATGGCAGTGTGGTTTGCTGCCTCCATCCCCATCACCTATATCTGGCATTTCTCCCCATGTTATCCCTCCCCTAGTCCCTCCCCCCATAGACCTCAGTGTGTGATGTTCCCCTCCCTGTGTCCATGTGTTCTCATTGTTCAACACCCACCTATGAATGAGAACATGCAGTGCTTGATTCTTTGTTCCTGTGTCAGTTTGCTGAGAGTTATGATTTTCAGATTGATCCATGTCCCTGCAAAGGACACAAACTCATAGATTTTTTTATGGCTGCATAGTATTCCATGGTGTATATGTGCCACATTTTCCCTGTCCAGTCTATCATCAATAGACAGTTGCATTGGTTCCAAGTCTGCTATTGTAAACAGTGCCGCAATGAACATATATGTGTGTGTGTCCTTATAATAGAATGATTTATAATCCTTTGGATATATATGATATGCAGTAATAAGATTGCTGGGTCAAATGGAATTTCTATTTCTAGGTCCTTGAGGAATCACCACACTGTCTTCCACAATGGTTGAACTAATTTACACTCCCACCAACAGTGTAAAAGTGTTCCTATTTCTCCACATCCTCTCCAGCATCTGTTGTCTCCAGATTTTTTAATGATCGCCATTCCAGCTGGCGTGAGATGGTATCTCAGTGTAGTTTTGATTTGCATTTCTCTAATGACCAGTGATGATGAGCATTTTTTCATATGTTTGTTGGCCTCATGTATGTCTTCTTTTGAAAAGTGTCTGTTCATATCTTTGGCCCACTTTTGAGTGGTGTTTTTTTTTTTTTTTTCTGGTAAATCTGTTTTAGTTCTTCGTAGATTTTGGATATAAGTCCTTTGTCGGATGGGTAGATTAAAAAAATTTTTTCCCATTCTGTTGGTTGCTGGTTCACTCTAATGATTGCTTCTTTTGCTGTGCAGAAGCTTTGGAATTTAATTAGATCCAATTTGTCTATCTTGGCTTTTGTTGCCAGTGCTTTTGGTGTTTTAGTCATTAAGTCCCTCCCTATGCCTATGTCCTGAATGGTTTTGCCTAGGTTTTCTTCTAAGGTTTTTATGGTGTTAGGTCTTATGTTTAAGTCTTTCATCCATCTGGAGTTAATTTTAGTGTAAGGTGTCAGGAAGGGGTCCAGTTCCTGCTTTCTGCACATGGCTAGCCAATTTTCCCAACACCATTTATTAAACAGGGAATCCTTTCCCCATTGCTTGTTTTTGTCAGGTTTGTCAAAGATCTGATGGTTGTAGATGTGTGGCCTTGCCTCCGAGGCCTCTGTTCTGTTCCATTGGTCTATATCTGTTTTGGTACCAGTACCATGCTGTTTTGATTACTGTAGCCTTGAAGTATAGTTTGAAGTCAGGTAACCTGATGCCTCCAGCTTTGTTCTTTTTGCTTAGAATTGACTTGGCTATGCAGGCTCTCTTTTGGTTCCATATGAAGTTTAAGGTGGTTTTTTCCAGTTCTGTGAAGAAGGTCATTGGTAGCTTGATGGGAATAGTGTTGAATCTATAAATTACTTTAGGCATATGGCCATTTTCACGATATTAATTCTTCCTAACCATGATCATGGAATGTTTCTCCATCTGTTTGTTTCCTCTCTTATTTCACTGAGCAGTGGTTTGTAGTTCTTGCTTTGTCTCTATGTGCTTCTTGCCTCTATAATGTAGAAAGCCTTTATCGGCTGACTTCCTACACTACAGCTTCTCGGCCAAAAAAAAAAAAAAAAAAGAAGAAAGAAAGAAAGAAAATCAAATGTAAAAGAGCCATTGATCAGGATTTGTCTATTTATTAGCATTTCCTGAGCTCAGGACTGAGAGCAGGAGTTCAAACCAGACGTTCATCATGAATGTGACCCTGGAGATTTGCCTTTTTTAAAAAAATTCTTTGGCAGGTTTGTTGTTCTAAGGAACATAAAGGTCAAGGTAGAGGTATCACGAAGCTAACTGCCTCCTACTCACTGCATTTGAAGTTGTGTAAGACACAGATCATGGACATTCTTTAAAATGTGTACAATATCTGCCTTCAGAAAGGCTTCTCTCAGGCTGGTATGGGAGTCTGTAAATGCTGAGCTGTGGGGGAACCCAGCTCCCTTCCCTAATCTGTCCTGACCATGACCAAGTCCTCTGCGATCTGGATTCAACAGCTGGTGCTCTGAGCAGAGCTACCTCAAGCAAAGTGTGGTTCTGGTAAGGTGAATCTTAATATTTGATAGTCAGGGACTTCTTAGCAAATCATATGAAGGCTGTGAACTGTCCTCCTGCTAAAAAATTCCCATCCTTGCAATGGATCATGAATCTCTTGGAGGCCATTGTCGCTCCCTTTCCTTCCCCCTCAAGGTTCATAATCCCCTTCCTAGGGTTACCTCTCTCTCTCTCTTCAGGTCATCCTCTGAAGGGCCACCTCACTGGATGACTGCAATAGGATATGTGGTTGACATTGCCCTGATATTGTCCTTGCTTTGCAGAGCTGAGTGTCAGTAATGGCTGAGGGCCTGCAGAGACCCAGCGAGGCTGCAATGTTAGTCTGAGCTGAGGCCAGCACGAATCAATTAGGAATCTCTGATGCTAAAATTCCTGTGAGACGGTATGGCTAAGGCTCTAGAAACAAACCAGTTAGAGGAGTGCATTACTGTGTTACCACCCCAGGCAGAGAAAGTTGAACTAGACCTACTAGGATATATGCTTCTATTCACTTATTAGCACGTATAGCAAGCACACTACATGCCAAGCATGACCTTTATTTTTTATCAATTGCCATACAGTGTAGTATGTGCAACGATATTATATTGTGAGGATTAGAGTAGGGAACATTGGAGCTTGCTTTTAAAGGGTGAGAAGAGTTCTCCAGGTAGGTAAAGCAATAGGTGTGAAATAGCACAATGCATTCTGGGAGCTATAGTTGTTTGGTGTTGGGCAGTTAATAGGGAGAGCTTGTGAGGTAAACAAGGAGAATAGCCACGTAATATCAGAGCCACATATTGTCAGAAGACCCTTTCTGGTGGTGCCAGGGACCTCTTAAGGGCTTAGCAGTAGCAAATCCAAGAATCCCAGACCTTTGGACCTCAGCTTCTTTGTTGTTCCCAGATGGATTTGTTAAGCCTCTTAACCTATGACTGGCCTCCCCCCGCTTCTTGGCACCACCACCTCTCTTTTCATATTTTGGCTTAACATCTCAGACCCCAGGATTCCATTTAGCATGAGTGCTGGCCGGAAGGGCCAGCTCGACCTACTTTATTCCCCACTTCCCATGGACTACTTCTCTGATTGCCAGTCAGAGCTGCTGTTGCTGAGCT